ATCTTGGTATTGTGGAAGGCACACCTTGTATAAAACTGATGGGGCTGGGCGATGAGGTGCATGCTTGTAATCCCAGGGGATTGGGAGGTTGAGGCAGGAGGATCATGAGTTCAAAGCCAGCCTCAGCAACATCGAGGTGCTAAGCAACTCAATAAGTCCCTGTCTCTAAATAAAATACAAAACTATGCTGGGGATGTGGCTCCCTGATTGAGTGGCCCTGAGTTCAATCCCTAATACCAAAACAAAAGAAAACTGGTTGAGCAAGAGAATCCTTTCTGATTAGCAGCAGAATACAAGTTAATTCTTATCAGTAGGCTGTTGTTCTCCAAAGGATATGTGATAAGAGAAAAACATAGGAGGGATCATAGAAGTCCTTTAAACGAACAAACAAAAAACCTTATATCTTCAGGAAACTAAAAGAAGTAAAGAACTAAATATATTTTATTACTCCTTATTTACTTTATTTTTTCCTGTAGTACTGGGGATTAATCCAGGGGTGCTCTATCGCCAAGCTATGTCCCTAGCCCTTTTTATTTTTTATTTTGATCAGGGTTTTGCTAAATTGTCCAGGCTGACCTTGAATTTGGAATCCTCCTGCCTGGGTCTCAAAAGTTGCTGGGATTACAGGTGTGTGCCACCACACCCAGCTATATTTTATCACTCTTTTTCACTTGACTTTTATTAGATTTTCAAAAAATTCTGAATCTGTAGGTGTGGTGGACTTTTTCAAAGATGGCTGCATTTAATTCCTTTCATTCCACTGCAATGTGACCTTGGAGCTCTTTCCATCTACAAGTAGAGTCTTTCCCCACCACTGTTGAATCTGCACTGGCTTAGTGATATTCTTTCACTATAAAATGAGACATTGTTGGAATGTCCCCAGACTCTTAGGTCTAGCTACTGGAGGTTAAGAATCCACTGGGAGCACAGCTGAGGCCCAAGTAGTGCAACAAGTGTACAGGTCAGTATGACAAAGAGTGCATTTTAGGCCACCCCACCCAGTAGAGATGCAAGATGGCTGAAGCTGCAGTATGAGCCACAGAATTTTGAGTCAGTGTTGCCATTATCACCGTTTTAGAGTAGTTTGTTAAATGGAAATGTATGTCTGAGACAGAAGGCCACATAGTAGAAGGAGCCAGTCACCCTGTTGAACACCCATTATGAATGGGTCAGATACACCCCTGGAGAATAGAAATAAAAAATATTAGGGGGAGGGGTCTGTCTCTGTGATAAGAGCACATAGCATACATGAAGCCATGGATTTAATTATTCACAGCTAAATAAATTTTTTTAAAAAAAGAAAGACAAAAGAAACAGATGGTCCTGTCCTTCATGTGCAAACACAGGAACAGATTCATTTTTTACCTGTTTTTAGTATATCCAAATTAGGGAAGAGCCAGTGACTACTGCTCCAGGTCACTGTTCATTTGTATTGCACTTATTTATAAATATTCTCTTCAGTAGGGTTATCACCATTTTTTTCCCAGATGGTATCTGCATGTCTTGGGCAATTTAGCATACTGGTTTTAGGGCATGATTTCTAAAGTATGGGTTCAGGAATCAGGTTACCTAGATTTGAATCATTCAAATCCCAGTTTTGCCACTTATTAGCTATGCAACACAACCTTCAGAAATTGCCTGTGTTTTTGTTTCTTCCATTCAGTAAGTTATCTGTGCTTCTACTTCTTCACTGTAAAATGGAGATAATACTTTTCTATACTTTGCTGTGAATCCTGAATGAGTTAATACATGTAAGATACTTAGAAGAGTGCCTGGTACAGTAAATGCTAGCTATTGTTACAATTATCGCTGCTGCTACCACCATCTTTCTATTCCCAGTGCCTAAAAGAGTAAATAAATTAGTGTGATGGAGACGAATGAGAAAGAACATTAATTATGATGACAACACATTATGTGACTTGTCAAAATTTTGAAAAGTGAAAATTTTGGATGCTATTAACAAATAAAACATGTAAATAATAAACATATAAGACAATAAACACCTTCAACTTCTATTTTCATAACCTGATTGTTAAGGTGAGGATATAAAGAATTCTCAGGGCAAAATTAATACTACAGTTATTTCCTTAAGAACTATCTTTTAGTTGTAATGTTTCCCCTAGTGAAAGTCATTAGAACATAGGCTTACTCCATATCCACTGGAAGCACAGAGATTTATGTAGATTTCCAATAATACGCAGACTCACAAATCCATCCCATTTAAATATACTATTGGTAATCTATGCTAAAAGAAAGTGGCAAGAATCATATCTCACAGGGGAAAAGGCATCCTACAAATCACCTGCCAATCCCCTTCACTTCACAGATCAGGACCATGAACCCAGGGATGGTCAGCCCTTCTGGCTGGCTATGAAGTCCTCATGGTCTCTTTAGTACATTGTGCCTCAGTATCCCACTACTCAGTATCCCACTATTCAGGAGGTCTCAAGTGGTGCCAGTAAGCTAGGTGAGAATCACTTCTTAAACAGAACACCCAGGCAAAGGCAGTCTTTTTTATTTTTGTAATTTTTTTTCCTTGTAGCCATAGCTCACATAGATCAATGAGGTAATTTTTTCCCTTCTTGAAAAAAATTTTCTAATGCATAAAGATATAGTTAAGAAAAGCTTGATATAAAATCTTGGGAGATTAAAATAAAGTTCATAATAATATTAATAATAAAATCTAATATTTATTGAAGTCTAATAATAATAATAAAAGCTAATGCTTATTGTGTTCCAAGCACATTATAAGCATGTTAACTTACTGAATACTCATAGCAACCTTACCTTAGGTTATGAGCATACTAGCATTGTCATCCCCGTTTTATAGATGAGAAAACTGAGGCACAGTGTACTAAATAAGTTTTCAAGGTTTTATATTTGGTAACAATGCAGGAATTTGACTTTGGCAGTGTGATTCTAGTCTAGTGAGTTATACTGTTTTATATTACCACTGCATGTTCTCTCTCATGTGTGGAGGCTAAAAGAAAATTGAGCTGAATGTAGACTAGGAATTATAGTAGTTGTGCAAAGCATGGAGAGTGGATCCAGGGAGGCTGTATTTGATCGTGCATTCTATATGACTATGTGGAAATATCACATTGAACCCTATTAATATGTACAACTAATGTGTGTTAGTCAAAGAGAAAAGAAAAAACTGATAACTTTTACTAAATTAAAACTTAAAATTTCTGTAAGTTTTAATAACATAAAAGATTTAAAGTAAAAATATAACCTACCTACTAGGAAAGACAAGAGCTGAACATAATCAACAAATTAGTAATCTGAGTATGTAATAGCTTCCTACAAATCCAAAAGAATAAAACAACACAGGAGAAAAATGGGCAAAGACCACTAACATACTATCAAAAATTATAAATTTATGAAGTACCAATGAAGACAATGGAGCATTGAGAACTCTCACACTTTGTCCCTTTGGGACAGCAATAATGTCTAGTTGTTGAGTGGGATTTTCCAGAGTTCAGAAATCCCATTGCTGTGCCCTAAACACTGTTCTCAGGATAAATACTCGTACACAAGGTGAAAAATGTTTAAGAATGTCTTTCTCTAATACTGAGAAAAAGTAATGTATTTCAAGATCTATCAATAATAAGATGGATAAGTAAATGGTGGACTATTCATATAATGAAATACTACACAGCAATCAAAATATATGAACTACAGTAAAATGGAACAAGGAAGAATTTTTATAATACAGGATTTAAAAGGCAAGTTTCAGAAAGTATTTAAAAGCATTAAAAAGTATAAAACATGCTCAGGAATGATAAACACCAAGTTCAAGGTGGTGACTATTTCTGGAGTGGACGGGAAGAGAATGGTTCCAAAGAGCTATTCAGGGGTTTTTGACTGCATTTATAATACATTACTTATAAAAATTATTATATATATATATATATATGTGTGTGTGTGTGTGTGTGTGTGTGTGTGTGCGCGCGCACACGTTTGTGTGTATAGTAAATTAGTAAAATTTGATAAATTTGCATGGTAGCATGTAAGCAGTGGTTCATTATATTTTATATAGTATTCTGTATGCTTGAGTTTTTCATATTTTTAAAGAAATATTATTACAAACTAAAAGTAAGCTACCAGTGATGATAAAAGATTCATGATGTGTGGGGGGAAAAAGCAAAATTAATAAACTGCTTAGATATAATTAGAGTCTACTCTAAGTTTAAATGATGTTTTCTTTATTAGTCAGAAACTTCAAAAGTAAAATGAAACAATTTTTCTATTATAAATTAACTTGGATAATTATACAATATGAAACTGTTGTGGCCCTCAAATATCTATGGTTAAATACTATAAGCAGTAGTGTCTCTGCTTTTGGACATGAAGTTCCTAAATTTGACTTACCCAAGGATAGAGTCTGAATTTTATCAGAATATTAGGAACACTGCCAGGAACCAAGCCTTCATTCCTTTAATACTAAACTTTGCTTTTACAACAAAATAATCCGAAGTATTCTGTATTAATAATTGACACTTCTATCCTAATGCACCAAAGACTAAAATATTAACAAAACAAACAAAATGAACACACACACACATAACACCTCAAACCAAACCACTTTAAAAAGAAATACTACAATGTGAATCTAAAGGCAAAACAGCAAGTTTATCATTTTACGGTTATGTCAAGCATGTCTCCAAGTAAGCATTTAGGCCATGGTTGGAGATATGACCTGGGTCCTTGTGGTGGAATGTTTGGTGGATGAAGTTCAAACACAGTCTGTTTACCTCTGGACATAAGTGGCCTTAATCAAAGCAGAAGATGTTTTTAAAATGTTGACTTTAAAAGCAGAAGTGTAAATAAGACTGTGATTTATGATTCTGCTAATAACTCTCTGCTGTAGAGATCAGAAAGACCAACTTTTTGGCTGTGTAAATGTAACAAGAATGCAGACTTGTTAAAACAGTAATAGGTACTCTTATAAAACTCTACTTCCATTAAGAGTTACAAATTATCTTCTCTCCTTCTAGGCCTTAAACAATGCGTTCCAGAAGCACTAACCCTGAGGGCTCAGCCCCAAAACAATTTCCAAGACACAGTAAAGACCAGAATTTCCAGAACATGAAGCACAAACAGCAAGACAAAGACTCCACCATTGAGTTGGATGAAATTCTTCCATGTCCCAAGTCAGAGAAGCCACACAATGGCAATGGCCACCAAGCAGACGATCTTTCAAGAGATGACCTGTTATTTCTTCTCAGCATTCTAGAGGGAGAACTGCAGGTCAGCTGGCTAGGAGTGATCCCTGGCATGATTCCTGGGGAAAGCTGGTTGTGAATTTGGTCTGCATGGTGCCACAGAAATAGGTATCTGTGGTTAGTACTTGTGTGTACGTGGAAGCAAAGCATAAATACACATACACAGAATTCTCTTCTGCCAACTCCAAGAGCAATTAACCACATCTAAAAGGGGTGTCATTATGACATATAATTGGCATACATGTTGTGAAAAGTTACATCCTCTGTCTGTTCTGCCCACTCACTTCATCACACAGTATTGGTAACCATGCTGCTAGATGACTTCTGGATTGGTTTAAATAATAATAGGAGCTTTGCACCTGATGTGAACTTGTTCCTAGACTGGCCATGGCATAATTACCTTTTAATTTATATAAAAATCGAAAAACAGCTAGCTACACATATTGGAGAATCTTATTTCCTACTCCCTAAAACACTATCCCTCAAAGGACTGCCATTTAGGTTATCTGCTTGTCAAACACAATAAGAAAATACAGTTCCCCAATGTTGTACAGCGATGACTTTTTAAAATATTGTTAGCATGTAATTAGACTGTAAGAAGGATGAAGGGACGTAGTTTTGTTACCTTTTCCAAAAGGTCTTATAACCAAATCTGATTTATTTATATTTGAAACTGAAGAAAAATCACTATTAACTTTCACAAGGGATCATTTGCTGAGACTGCTGGTAGATGAAGTAGGCTTTTTGAAATATCTTTTGTTCCTACAGGCTCGAGATGAAGTCATTGGTATTTTAAAGGCTGAAAAAATGGACTTGGCTTTGCTGGAAGCTCAGTATGGGTTTGTTACTCCGAAAAAGGTGTTGGAAGCTCTCCAGAGAGATGCTTTTCAAGCAAAATCGATTCCTTGGCAGGAGGACATCTATGAGAAACCAATGAATGAGGTATGCACCACATCAGGGTGGGTCCCGGGAGGAAGGCAAAGCTCAACAGTCAGTCAAGCACTGGGTCTGTAAGGAGGCAGCACCTGTAACTCCCTTCCAGTTCTTTGAGGTCAACCAGACTTCCAGCCAACCTTCCTTCTTTCTTTCCTTCCTTCCTGGTACTGGGGATTGAGGTACTTTATCACTGAACTACACCTCCAGTCCTTTATATTTTTTGAGACAGGGTCTTGCTAAATTGCTGAGGTTCTCTCTAAGTTGCTGAGTTGGCCTTGAACTAGGGATCCTCCCGCCTCAGCTTCCCAAATTCCTGAGATTATAGGTGTACACTACCATGCCCAGCCTATAGTTTTACTTTCTAATGCATTGAAAATGTACATAAAGTAGAGAAATACTATTAATTTCTTGGGAGAAAGAGATGAATAATAGGATGCTTCTACTAGGTTGGTTTCTTGATATCAGACTGAAACATAATAAATGCAAGAATTCCTCCTTTTCTCATATGTATGTGTGTGGTGCATGCTCATGCACTCCCACCCTATGCCCCCCAAGGGCCTGTACTTCTTTTAGGTACTTGATGGCTACCAAAAATAAAATTTAAAAAATAGAAAAGTTCAGCCATGGGGATTAATTTCTTTGAAAACACTGAAATTATGTCATAAAAATTTGGGGCAAGAAAATGATCTGAACTGCCCAAGAAACAGTTTTTAAAAGTATAGACATTAGATATATACTCTCTTTTTCCTTCAAAAGTTTAATGATAGGGAAGACCTCTCCCCAGCCAAATGTGCCTGACTATTACAATGGCAAAGGTGAGCAGCCCCAATATGGCCATCACTGCACAAGATGAAGGACTTCTTGCTCTCTCCTTATTGACATTTCTGAAACTCTTTGGCATCCTTGTTTTATTTTTCTATTTTTCCTCTGAGACATCAATGGAACATTTCATAATTTTTCATTTTTATAAAAAGGAAACAGCAAAGAGTATGAGTTAAGGCTGGAGTGACTGAAAGTAAGTTTTGGACAAATTTCTTCCACATAAGCTCTGGCATTCTACCTCAGGAGTGACCTCTAATGTCCTTGCTATTATTGTGTTGGGTGTCTCATGAGAGAAGACTACCATCTTGCCAAGTTGTAAAGGAGTTTGGTCATGTGAATCTGCTTCTCTGAGGGGTGAGGATAAGACCACCCAGAGTCTGTTGACTTGTGCCTTAATCCAAATTTTAAACAAAAGGAGCCGAGGCCGCACGCAAGTCAACAATGTTAAAACTGTATCTTGGCGCTTCACATACTGACTGTGAAACAATATTAGGCACAAAGCCCTCAACCTGTAAGAACTCAAGTGAAAATAAGTGACCAGTAAATGTACCCCTAACGGAAATCCACAAAGGGCATAACTGTCAAGACTTCAGTGTAAAATGAAATTGACTGATTCAAATTTATGTCAAGATTAGTTCGATATTGGAAATACTCTGTCTCAACACAAATGCTTGCAATCTTTAACTGTAATTTGTTCCCCAGTTTCTGTGCCTGCAATAAAAATACAACTCTCTCTCTCTCTCTCTCTCTCTCTCTCTCTCTCTCTCTCTATATATATATATATATATATATATATATATATATATATATATATATTTGCAGTTGGACACAATACCTTTATTTTATTTATTTATTTTTATGTGGTACTGAGGCTCGAACCCAGGGGCTCATTTGTACTAGGCAAGGGCTCTACCACTGAGCCACAACCTCAGCCGCAAATACAACTCAGCAGATGATCAAACTGAACATGAGAGACGATTATCACCATTCAGAGTGAGGATGAAACAACTAATGGCTTTCAGGAAGGTTTGCACTGGCAGCATGGAGTTGATAATTATACCTTCTCTTCTAGATGTGGAGGCAATGAGAAACTATTTATTTTTCAGATTCCAGTGTTTACAAGGGAAATTAGGTTTCAGTACAGTCAAGGAAGAAGAAGGGATATTTTGAAATTAATAGCGTATTTGTTTACTTTTGATAGACTAAAAAGATCAAACAATTTCTCTGCTCTCTCAGATTAGCTTATCCCTACCCGTATATTCAGGGTTAATTTAAAACAATAAAAACAAAAACAAAACAAAACGAAAGGATAAGGACAATCTACAAAGAGACAAGAAAAAAGAACAAAGAGAACCAAAATCATAGCACAGAAAGAAGACCAAGCCCAAATCAGGGTGGTCTGTGACTTGGGGTGTGTTAAAAAAAAAAAAGGTCATCATTAATTTCTAAACAGATATTAAGCAGATAAGGGCAAAAAGACAGAAAACTTCTCTGTGTTTGATTCCCTATGGCCATAGAAGGATAACCAAAAATCCAACCTAATGGGATATACTATGCTTTCTTCATCCCTGGCAACTAGTTGGATTTTATCATGGGATGGGGGTAGGACATCATATCAGGTGGCTGAACTGATAAGCTGGGAGTTTGTCATTGCACAGGAAACACTAGGAAGCCATCTTTTCAATTTTTCTGTATCTGATGATCCCTGAAATGACTTATGAGTCTTCCTGTTTTCTTCCCAAGTTTCACTCAATCTCCAACTGGGAATATATAAAAAAGGGAGAATCATTCTCTGATTGTCCTTTTGTACTTAATGATATGCCATGTGTACTGCTCCTAATGATTGCATGTGTTTAGCTTATCTTCCTAGTGAGAGTGTACGCACTTAAGTTCAATTTCTCTTGCATTCTCCATGGCAACTATCATAGTACCAGGAACTTATGTCAGAATAGGTATTTAAAACACTGGTTTCTTTGTAAAAATTGTGGCACTAGAACTGATCTTGTGAACAATCTACTTCCCACCACTCACACTGTATATGAAGATCCTGAAGGCTGGAGTGACTGAAATAGTCATGTGGCTTGGCCAAACTCACATCTACTCAGGGAGCATCAGGTCCATCATTTGATCTGTCAGGAATGAGGAACAGACTGAAGTGAAAACCATTGGCCTGTTTTCTGAGAGGCATTCTAAACATGAAGAAATGAAGTCAGAGAATAAAACTTCTAATACAGGCTAAAACATCTTCAGAAACAGTAACACTTTTATTTGGAAGCTTTCTCTCTGCAGCTGATATAATCATGAGCTGCCTGGTGGTTCCACTGAACAGCATGTAGTAAATTCAAACCACTCTTTTGAGAATCATGGAATGTGACAGAAGCAAAACCCAGAGAACTAGGCATTGATACAAGGAGAAAACAATGCTACTTAAGGATTGAACAGGAAAGGAAAAGTTTTGGTGAAAATTGATGAAGGAGAAAAGGTTTCTAGGTTTCAGCACTGCGTAAAAGCAGAGTGATTTCTAAGTCCAGGGTGGCTAAAAGTTGGGTGAGGAAAGTGTTGGAATGGAAATGGGGCTGAAATGGCAGCGGGTGCAGAAGGTAAAGGGCCTTCGGTCTTCCATAGGAGAAAAACTAATCCCACTGTTGCAAGATCAGATTGGTAATGAAAAGAAATGACAGAAAGAGGCTGTAGGAAGGAACACCACTTATTTGGACATATACTAAATAAAAGGAACTGATTCTTTCCAGCCTTTCTTGTGACGGATTAAATTAATTTTTTTTTTTTCTAAATCAGTTGGTAACTTCCCTAAATTGAAGCTCATCTTTTCATTTTTTACTTTCAAATTCTAAAAGCAATTGATTTGAATTTCCCTAACAATGCATTATAAAGTTTGGGCAACTGTAAGATAGGATTTTGAGAGGGCTGTAGTGGCTTGAGACCACAACAAATGAATATCATTTCCCTGTTCAAAAATGATCATCAGTTAACAGTGCCTCTGCCAGCAGACAATACAACTTAGCAGTTCTAGCATCCACAAAAGGACTGGCATTTAAAAATCATCAACAATTGCATAATAAAATATTTTTCAAAATTACATAAACCCATATTAGAAAGTTAAACAACCAGCTTAAGCATTTAAAGGTCCAAGAGAAATCACTGGGATGCTGGGGTTGTGGCTCAGAGGTAGAGTGCTCACCTAGCATGTGTGAGGCACTGGGTTTGATCCTCAGCACCACATAAAAATATTGTTTACAAAAAGAAGAACTCAAATTTGCCCTATTTGCTGATGATATGATTCTATACCTTGAAGATCCTAAAAGTTCCACCAGAAAATACCTAGAACTAGTAAATGAATTCAGCAAAGTAGCAGGATATAAAATCAACACCCATATATCAAGGCATTTCTGTATATCAGTGACAAATTCTCAGAAAGGGAAATGAGGAAAACTACCCCATTCTCAATAGCCTCAAAAAAAAAAAAAAAAAACGAACCAAAAAACACTTTAGAATCAACTTAATGAAAGAGGTGAAAGATCCAAATAATGAAAATTATAGAATCCTAAAGAAAGAAATCAAAGAAGACCCTAGAAAATAGAAAGATCTACCTTGCTTTTGGATAAAGAAAATTAATATTATCAAAATGACCATACTTCCAAAAGCACTATACAGATTTCATGCAATTCTGATCAAATTCCAATGACATTCCTCATAGAAATAGAAAAAGCAATCATAAAATTCATCTGGAAAAATAAGAGACCCAGAATAGCTAAAACAATCCTTAGCAGAAAGAGTAAAGCAGGTGGCATCACTGTACCAGATCTTAAACTATACAACTGAGCAATAGTAACAAAAACAGCATGGTATTGGCACCAAAACAGACTGGTAGACCAACGGTACTGAATACAGGACACAGAGACTAACTCACAAAACTACAATTATCTCATATTAGACAAAGGTGCCAAGAACATGCATTGGAGAAAAGACAGCCTCTTCAACAAATGGTGCTGGGAAAACTGGAAATCCACATGCAACAAAATGAGATTAAACCCCTATCTCTCACCATGCACAAAACTCAACTCAAGGGCTGGAGATGTGGCTCAAGCGGTAGCGCGCTCGCCTGGCATGCGTGCGGCCCGGGTTTGATCCTCAGCACCACATACAAACAAAGATGTTGTGTCTGCCGAGAACTAAAAAAGAAATAAATATTAAAATCACTCTCTCTCTCTCTCTCTCTCTAAAATGAGTGTAAAGGGGTTTCTGTATTCAGTATCTTTAAAAAAAAAAAAAAAAAACTCAACTCAAAATGGATCAAGGACTTAGGAATACAATCAGAGACCCTACATCTAACAGAAGAAAAAGTAGGCCCTAATCTCCATCATGTGGGATTAGGCCCCAACTTCCTTAATAAGACTCCTGTGGCACAAGAATTAAAATCAAGAATCAATAAATGGGATGGACTCAAACTAAAACGCTTCTTCTCAGTAAAAGAAATAATCTGTGAGGTGAATAGAGAGCCTACATCTTGGGAGCAAATCTTTACTCCTCACACATCAGATAGAGCACTAATCACTAGGGTATATAAAGAACTCAAAAAGCTAAACACCAAACAAAAAACCCAAATAACTCAATCAATAAATGGGCCAAGGACCTGAACAGACACTTCTCAGAAGATGATGTACAATCAATCAACAAATACATGAAAAAATGCTCATCATCTCTAGCAATTAGAGAAATGCAAATCAAAACCACTCTAAGATTTCATCTCACTGCAGTCAGAATAGCAGCTATTATGAAGACAAACAACAATAAGTGTAGGCGAGGGTATGGGGAAAAAAGTACACTCATACTTGCTGGTGGGACTGCAAATTGGTGCAGCCAATATGGAAAGCAATATGGAGATTTCTTGGAAAATTGGGAATGGAACCACCATTTGATCCAGCTATCCCTCTCCTCAGTCTATACTCAAAACTTAAAAACAGCATACTACAGGGACACAGCCACATCAATGTTTATAGCAGCACAATTCACAATAGCTAAATGTGGAACCAACCTAGATGCCCTTCAATAGATGAATGGAAAAAACATGTGGCATCTATACACAATGGAATATTACTCAGCAATAAAAGAGAATAAAATCATGGCATTTGCAGGCTAATGGATGGAGTTAGAGAAGATAATGCTAAGTGAAGTTAGCCAATCCCAAAAAACCAAATGCCGAATGTTTTCTTTGATATAAGGAGGCTGATTCATAATGGGATAGGGAACAGGAGCATGGGAGGAATAGATGAACTCTAGATAGGGCAGAGGGGTTGGAGGGGAAGGAGGGAGCATGGGGTAATTAATGATGGTGGAATGTGATGATTATTACTATCCAAAGAACATGTACGAAGACATAAATTGATGTGAGTATACTATGTATACAACCAGAGATAAGAAAAATTGTGCTCTATATATGTAATAAGAATGGTAATGCATTCTGCTGTCATATATAAATAAAAAATTTACTTAAAAATATTGTATCCACCTATAATTAAAAAATAAATTTAAAAAAATGCAAAAAAAAAAAAAAAAAAAGAAGAAGAAGAAATCATTGGGTTCTACATGCTGGGACACACATTTTCATAATTCTATTCATTTGTATTTCTGGTCAAGTACATAGCTTTTGGGATGCCCACTTAATATCCTAAAAATGCTATATGGCTGTAAAGTCATGCTGAGTAACAAATTTTCTATCGTTTACAATAAAGGCAAAGGGCAAGTAACATACCAGTTACAGCATCTAATGCTTAATCTAGAAATCCCATGCTTTCAAAACCATGATCTTAATCATTAAGATCCTGAGCCACTTTTGCTCTAGGTGTTCTCCTTCTTTTCTTCCTTTCTTTCTTGATTTCCTTACCCAATTATTTTGTTTTCACTCTGTAAACATATACTAAAGGGTGCTTATATGAAGCATGGTACTCTGGATGCTAAGATTTTAGGAAATAGTGGATATAGACTGTATCCTTGGGGAGTTAATCATCTAGTAGGGAAGACAAACATAAATCAGGTGCAGGGTGATCATTTTATAACAAAGACATAAGTATGGTGCTATGAAAACTAGAAAGGACTTGGTACTTACATTTGGTCACACACATACTACACACCAACGCAGATGAATTATCTATATATCTATTTTAATGAAAATACTTTGATGCATAATAAAAACAAAACAGACCACGGGATCCAAGAGATATACACTGGCAGACAATATTGGGGGTAGGCCGGGGCAGAAGAGATCAGCCAGGGCAACTGCAGAATCAAACAGTGTACAAGGATTCTCTCTCAATCATTAAAATCTCTGGGGAGAGAAGCAAGGGTGTCAGAAAAGGGACACGAAGAAAGCATTCTGATATCCACAGAGATACAGATTATTCTCCCTGGAAAATTTTGGTGACAATAAAAAAACATTTGTGTTAAAAAATGTATCAACAAAAAAGTATCAATTAACATGAGTAATGATAAAAACTAAACCATGAGATCAAAAACTTACCACTGAAATTAGTCAAAATAGACACTTATAAAAGAATGAAAGATGGCAGTATTGTAGTTAACAGGTTATAAATGCATTTTCTTTTGTAGTTGGACAAAGTCGTGGAAAAACATAAAGAATCTCACAGACGAATCTTGGAACAACTTTTAATGGTAGAAAAATCCCACAGGCAAACCATATTGCAGTTGGAGGAAGAAAAAAGAAAACATAAAGAATATATGGTGAAGAGTGATGAATTCATAAGCTTACTAGAACAGGAATGTGAAAGGTAAGGCTGTTTTGGATGAAACAATGACCCATTCTGCAAACTATGACTAACTTGTTACTATAGGATAGACACTGTCCCAGGTGTTGGGGATAGAAGCATGAATATGCCACAGCCTCTGTTCTCAAAGATCTCATGGTCCAATGCAAGGAAAAAAAGGACATGGTTAAAGATATTATCAATGCAACACAAGAATCACCAGTCACGATCAAAACTATGGAAGCAATACATTGGGCACCTAACTATGCAAGGGATTACCCTGGTGAAGCTGTACAGAGAAGGCATAGGAGTCTAGTCCTTAGGCAAACAAAATAGGAAACTATATTCAAGGCAAGTGTAATGGCACAGAGGTGAGAAGAGAGCATGAATGCTGAGGGAACGCAGGCTTTCCATATGGCTACAGCATTGGTGGGAGTACAGGATGAGAAAAAGAAGGGCTAGCCATAAGCAGTTGGACTACATACTGTTGGCAAGACAGAACCAGCGAAAACCTGAGAGGAAAACGAGACAATCAGCCATGCTTCTTAAATAACTATTATAGTAACATGGGAAAGACTGGAAGAGTTTTAGGTTGGAGGATGGAAGCCCACTTAGGAAGTAAAACCCAGATAAGGAAGATGAGGGAGTATAAATAAGATATATTATGATGTACAGTCAACAGGAATAAGTGACTGGAGAGACGAGCAGGGACACAGGGAGTCATTTAGAAGGACTCTGGTTATTCACCAAGACATGAAATATGGCAAAGCTTTTTGTTGTTAAAGGATTTTGACTGGGGCAAAGGTTTTATTTAAGGAGAGGCGGGCAAGAGGAGTCCTATTTTAGACCTCAGTGTATCCCAATATCTAGTGGAAAGAATAAAGACAATCCATAGTCAGAATACAGGTCTGGAAAAGGATGGGCTGTGATGTGGATTTGCAGTGGGTGACAGCCGAAGCTATGAGAGGTAATGCTGGGAAGGGAACCCTGGGATACATCAGTGCATGGCAGTTTTTCAGAGGAAAGGGGGTCAAGAAAGGAAGCTGAGAAAGAATGGCAAACAGCTGAAAGAAATGATAAAGAAGGTAATAAAACATAGCCAAGGGAGACTTTCACAAAATGGGGAACAACTGAATATTATCAAATCATACAAAAAGGGATGAGAAATGTCCCAGGTTTTGGCAACAAGATACTGAAAAGCTTAATGAGCCATTTTAAAAAGCAGGAAGGGCAGAAGCCAAATTATAATTCTTTGAAGAATAAGTAAGAAATGAGAATTTAGAAGCTTAAATATGTAAACCAGTATTTATTTATTTATTTTGTAAGACAGTGTTTTTTTATTTTTAAATACCTTTATTTATTTGTTTATTTTTATGTGATGCTGGGGACCGAATCCAGTGCCTCACACATACTAGGCAAGCGTTCTATCACACTGAGTCACAACCCCAGCCATATAAGACAGTATTTTAAGAAGCTTGGTTGCAAAACAGGGAGTTTGGTTGATAAACATTTTATAACCATGTGTAGAAAGAAGGTTATTTTGTTCTGATTTGATGCTCAATTCTGAATCAACTTTGAAAGTATGAGCATCTATTTTAAACTGAAAGGACAATTATCTCTCTCTCTCTCTCTCTTTTTTTTTTGGTACCAGGGATTGAACCCAGGGGTGCTTAAACACTAAGCCATATCCCCAGCCCTTTTTAATATTTTACTTACAGACAGAGTCTCACTGAGTTGCTTAGTACCTTGCTAAATTGCTGAGGCAATCCTTGCTCCTGACCCTTGGGATTACAGTTGTATGCACCATGCCTAGTTTATCTCTCTCTCTCTCTCTCTTTTTTTTTTTTTTTTGTTGGGGGTGGGTACCAGGGATTGAATTCAGGGGTACTTAAGGAGGAAAAAAACAAACAAACACAACATACCTATGAGCTCTCCTTTCTGAAACACTAGTAATCAACTGCTTTATTCAAAAGTTTCAATTCATATTTTAGCTAGGTAGCTGAAGATATAACAATATGTAGGCTATTGGCAAACTTTCATTTCTTTTCAGTGTATTTCATGGTAGACACTTGCTCAGAGTGCCAGAGAATCCATAATCCAGTCCTTTTTTTTTTTCTCTAGGAGTTTGTTTTTTGCTCATTACACACAAGGCAGGGGGTGAATGGGAAGGAAATCCTTGTTAACTTGTCCCTTATGAACTCTGTGGAAATATCTACAGAGGCAGATTAAAGGAGGATGAGAAATCTGGCACCACGGGAAAATTATAGACTCAAAGATTATAATATGATTTGTTATTCAATGAGACAATGTTATATTAAATATTATTTTGAACCCCTGTGGTTTGGCACTAGTGGCCTCATTTGGCCTCGATACTTATTTGGCACCAACTTGCTGAACATAGACACTTCTTTCATCTTTCATTATTGTGAACATTTACTGACCATAGTCAGAGTGTTGCCTGCCCCTGGAATAAAGCAGCACAGGCTGTCTCTGCCAGGGGTTTTACCACACAAGAAAGCAAGAGAAAGATGATATGTCATGAGCTTTGTAATGTTTTGAACAACCAATAAAAAATAAAATAAAAAAAATAAAAGTCTTCTTATCCCCCCCCCCCCCAAAAAAAGCAAGAGGTACGGAGTTAGGGTGGCAATGTGAAGGGCTGTGGGTACAGTTCTGATATTTACTGCTGTATCTCTCCTATCTTTTGGAGGAAGGCTGGGAAGCATATCCAGAAGTAATACTGTAACCCTGGGAAGCAGATTGCAATGATTACATAAATCAAGAGACCAAAGAGAAATAATACTGAGAAACTGGAACCAAAGATCAGTGGGAATAAAGGCAATGGGAAGGAAGAATCGATATATTAAGAATGGTATTTCTACATGTATCAAATCAGTTAAAGAATTTAAGAGATCCTTTTTTTTTTTTTTTTGGTTTTATAGGATATAAATTTTGTCCTAAAGAATAATTAAACTGACTATGCCAATACCAAGAAATAGGAAAAAGTGAATAGAGACTGTTCAGCTGTTCCAGATGATAAAAGAATACTCACCTTTTTCCTTTTGCCAGGAACAGCTTCCCGATGGAACTCTTTGGGTGTGAGAATGTTAAACCTATTCTCAACTTACATGAAGCACCAATAGTTCTTCCTCTGCTTGTCCTTTACAATATCACAATTTCCATATCTTGGCACTGTTGGCGTATTCATATCCACCCTCCCTGATCCCATTTTTTTTCTGTAGGGAGCCTACAGGCCTTGTGAGGCATAACTGGTTTCCACCTGCTTTAAGGTTTCGTGTATCAAAGCATGAATTACACACCACTAATCAAGTGGGCAGTGGAGGAAACTAATTATTTCAAGCAAATACATTCAGAGAAGGTGCTTACACACAACAGTGAAATACCAGTGATGTGTCTCATTTTCAGATGACAGGGCAGAAAACACTGTCAGTAAATACTTTGGTGGGAGTACTTTCTCTCTAACTCACAACCACCCCTCATAAAATCAGGACTAGCTCATCCTATAGGGTCAAAGAATATTGTTTACTTCCTTTAGAGCAAAGTCATATGAACCACTCCCTAATTAGGAGATACTTGTTTTACCTAGGCAAAATGAAAGATATCATAACTCCTATAAAGAAAGATCAAGTGAGGGTAGCTACAAAGAACTATTTGATTGAAGCTCTGAAAAAACACTGTGAGTGAGGGGTTAGCACTCATATTTTAAGTGTTGGTTAATATCTACATAGAAGTAAAATAAAAATTAAGAAATACATGACTGAGGATAGTTAATGAGACCTTAAAGGATGTAATAATGGATTTCAAATTAAGGCTCAATTTCTGTTTTCTTTGGAGAATTCGTTTTATGTGGAAAACCCTAAAGGAGCCTGATGTCACATATTGAGTTCAGGCCAAAATGTTTGCCAAGTGATGTCGCTGTCGTAATCAGTAAGCAATTGGCTTTCCCACTGAGGGCGGTGGGGGCAGGGATAGGCTTAGGAAAGTCTGTTCCAAGTCTGTTAATGTAAAGTTTCCTTAGCTGTAATCTGTGCAGTTTGGTTTGTCCATATGGTGATATCACAGCCATGTTTCATGGCAATACTTTGTTCACTGACCAGTTACACTACGTAGATATGTGTCACTGATGACCTGAATTATATACTTGGCTAGATTACAAGTAGAGTCTATGAGAAAGGTTTTACACAAAAGCAATGCCAGTAATTTTTGGCCTTTCTAGTTGGCTTCACAGGAAAGCCAAAATAAAAATCACTTTTAGTCAGTATAATTTTGCAAAATTTTCCCATAAGTGAAATGCCAGTTTTGCCTCTACTTATATCAAGAACTATGTAATGTTTTGAACAGCCAACAATAAAAAATTAAAAAAAAAAAAGCTTGCAGATTTTTTTTCTTTTTTCTTTTTTAGCTTCAATGGGCTAAAAACCTGTGAAGGAACAGAAAGATCTTTCCTTTTGAAACCATACATTCTTTTTAGAATATTAAAACACACCATATATAACAACTATATATACTACTGTATTTCTGGCCTTGGAATAACCACTAAGGTAGAAAACAAATATTATTGTGGCAACTCTGCATAAAAATGTGGCTTCAACTGTGGATTTTAAAAAGTCTTAAGTTAGCTTTCATAATATCTTGGCCAAGTAGACTAACACTGATACTCCAGTTTTACAAATAAAGGAGTTTAAATGGTAGCTACATAGTGAGGAAGGAGTCATAGCAGAATGAATTTCTTGCTCCTGTCTTGCCCAGATTGACTAGATAGACAATTATATAGGGAGCGTAGGGATCTTTGGAGGAAAGTCAACAGGGCCCAGTTTTAAGCCTGTTGCTTTGCCTACATCCTGAGCATGTTCTCTGTTGGTAGGTTTTGGAAAAGTCCTTTTGGCTGAAGCAACTTTACAAAGATTTCCATCATGGACCCTTTTCTACTATGACAAGCCTATTTTACAGACTGGCATCAGGCAAGAGGACTAAAACATGGCTTGAGCCCCATTTAATCCTAC